GCCCCCCCCCCCCATACCCTGAGTACTGGGTCTGTATGGTGGTTTTAGTGGCAGAAACGGTGGTGGGTATGATCACATGCAGCATGTGGTACCATCTATAAAGAGAACCTGTTCCTTTGTTGAGGTTTGCTGTAAACCTTCTTAAAGTGCAACCCCAACTAAACTTTCCTCTGAGAAATCAAGTGTTAGAACCTTAGTCAGGTCTATAGTGCTGTCTGTGACGTCATTGGGCAGATTTCCCCTCACTTGCCGTTCCTGTGATAGTTATCAGTGTGGCAGGAAGTGAGAGGATTCCTTCCAGATACAACGACAAAAGGCTCGAGTACCTCCTGTCCATCAGCTGAAAGGGGGGCGGTGCTGAGGAAAATACGCAGGCCAGCACAATGCTAAATGCCTGAAGGCTGTAATGTTTATCCACTGGCTTCACAACTTGGAGTCACTGACCCGGGACAAGCATGCAGATCGGAAAAGTCAGAGTGAGTCCCTGATCTGTGCACTTTGTTCTCGGCTTGTGACCACAAGTGCACTGAAACCACTGGATTAGGTTGTAGTAAGCTGAATGCATGTGGTGGAATCTTTGTTAGGCTGTGTACTGAATTTCTGGTTTGTCTTCTTATTTGATATTTTCAGATGTTGACGATCGCATCCACGGAGCCAGGGACTCTCCGGCATTCCATACCCAGTAAAGAGCCCCGGAAGCGTGCTTCCCGCTCCAGCAGCGCTGCCAAGAAGAGCTTACAGCTGAAAGTGGCCTCAGGGGAGGAGCCTGGGGCCTCAGGGAAGGAGCCTGGGGCCTCAGGGAAGGAGCCTGGGGCCTCAGGGAAGGGACCTGATGCCTCAGGGGAGGAGCCTGGGGCCTCAGGGAAGGAACCTGATGCCTCCGAGGAGGTGCCTGCACCATTGGAGGAGAGGTCTACACCACTGGGGGAGAAGCCTGCTCCTTCAGAGGAGGAGCCAGCGGCCGTTGAGTCAGCTAATGATCGATGGAAGAAGCTGGAGTTTGACAAGATCTATAAATACCTTTCCAAAGCAGCCACGGGGGAGGCCCTTCCGAAGCTGTCTGAATGTGGTATGTATAAGTCATATAAAGGGGAGGGTTATAACACCTGCCAGCATTTTTGTTTGCTATGTGTCCCATTGGGGAGATTTCCCTTCACATCCTGTCTGATAGCCACAACAGGAAGGGAAATCCCTCCAGAGTAAGGGAAATCCCTGGTGGTCACCAGAACGCATTTCCCCTCTACAGAAAGATTTGGTTTCAGTTGCATTGTAAAGGGAATCCGTCACTTTGTCTAACAGGTTTTCTGAAAAGCTCACTGCATTCCTCTATGGCAGGGGTAGCCAACCAGCTGTGGTGGAACTACAAATCCCATGAGGCATTGCAACATTCTCACAGCCACAGACATGACTCCCGGAGAGAGATGCATCATGGGATTTGTAGTTTCACCACAGCTGGAGGACCACTGGTTGGCTACCCCTGCTCTATGGCAGCCTTGGGTCTACTCCCTGTGTGGGTTCCATGTTGGCCCATTCCATAGCACACACAGGGCTAGTGACCTGTTCCATGTGTCAGCGTTTGAGCATAGTCATTGGATGCTCGGCCCGAACACTACACATACCCGGAAGCACCAGTAATTTCCAAAGGCTCTGATGGAGGAATGGAACCGCATGGGAGCTCCGTAGAAGAGTGTATGGCTTGGTGGTGGCGTAGGCTTTTAAGAGAACCTGTCACTTTTGCCCATACGGAGCAACTTTAAATGTCCTGAAGACATAACTGCTCATTGAGAGGTGGAGACCTGCTGTGAGAAGCTCATCAAAGTAAACAATTTCAGTTCAGGAGAGGAGGTCTGTACAACTGCAGGACTCCAGGGAATGCCAGAGGTGAACTATCAAGGAAGGGGGTACATAAGGGTAGCCTATAAACTGCACTTGCATAGCTCCGGCTCCTGGATTTGTCCAACCTGTTGCTTTAAATAACAGGTCTCCGTGACTTTTTGGGCATGTGGGCTGTATCGAGATTTCCCTGAGCGTCAAGTTTCTAACGTCAATGTGACTTTTGTTGTTTCAGAATCAGCAGTCGTCCTTCATCTCCTTCACTGCATCCCAGACCAGCTGCAGACCCTGGATGCTAAGCCGTTGGGCGTCTATCTGCGTAAAACCTACGCGTACGTGGATTCACCAGCCAAATCAGAGAGCTCGGAGCAGGAAGAGACGTCATCAGACTCGCAGACGGTGAACCAGAACGAATTGGGCTTTTGCCCCTTAAACCCGTTTCTGCTGCCTCTTGAACTTCTGAAATCTAAAGAGAAAAAGGTGGCACCTTCCTGATCCTGGGCCCTCGGCCCTTCACTTTTGTTGGCTCTCTGCTGCCCCTTTTGTTCATATATCATTATTACATGCTGTTCTGTGTTAGTCAGCTTGCCTCTGAGTTCCACAAGAACAAGACCTCTCAGTTCCACACAAAGTTCTCCAGATGCTGAAAACCTTTTTTCATATTAAGAGTTTCAAATGTATGCCTTTCGGGAAGGTCAAGTTTGCCTGGTATTGTTTCCCTGGTGGTCAGTGGGGAAATGCCCCCTTGTATTAATGGTCAGTGGAGAAGTGCCCGCATACATTGGTGGTCCGTGAAATGCTTCCTTACATTGGTGGTCAAAGGAGAAGCCCCCCCCCCCCCCCCCCTCCATGTGTGGGAGGGCAGGAGAGAGTAGT